ACAACTTAGGCGCCGTACCAGTTCCTGACGGCCTTCTCCCAGCTCATCTCCAGGGTCTGCCACTCCAGCGACGAGGTCTTCACCGTCCTCATGACCATCGTGGCCAAAGTCTTCCTGAAGTACCCCCAACAGGCCATGTGGCTGATGACTGCTGTCTCCAAGGTGTGTGTGTGTGTGTGTGTGTGTGTGTGTGTGTGTGTGTGTGTGTGTGTGTGTGTGTGTGTGTGTGTGTGTGTGTGTGTGTGTGTGTGTGTGTGTGTGTGTGTGTGTGTGTGTGTGTGGTGTGTGTGTGTGTGTGTGTGTGTGTGTGTGTGTGTGTGTGTGTGTGTGTGTGTGTGTGTGTGTGTGTGTGTGTGTGTGTGTGTGTGTGTGTGTGTGTGTGTGTGTGTGTGTGTGTGTGTGTGTGTGTGTGTGTGTGTGTGTGTGTGTGTGTGTGTGTGTGTGTGTGTGTGTGTGTGTGTGTGTGTGTGTGTGTGTGTGTGTGTGTGTGTGTGTGTGTGTGTGTGTGTGTGTGTGTGTGTGTGTGTGTGTGTGTGTGTGTGTGTGTGTGTGTGTGTGTGTGTGTGTGTGTGTGTGTGTGTGTGTGTGTGTGTGTGTGTGTGTGTGTGTGTGTGTGTGTGTGTGTGTGTGTGTGTGTGTGTGCGCGTGCGCGTGCGCGTGCGCGTGCGCGTGTGCGTGTGCGTGTGCGTGTGCGTGCGCCCCATTGTCAGTTATGTGTCAAAAAAAATGAATACCACGTCACTGGAACTTTGTTCATTTATTCATAATCACCCCCGCGGCTAGAGATGACCAGCTTCTTGTAGTTTTATTAGCGAGCAACCTTTCTGAATAAATGATAACAGCCTTCTAAACCTATCGTACCCCTTTCGCACTAAAATGAGTCAGTTTGTAACTCTCTACTCTCCTTCAACAACGGTTTACTCTTTAATGACCACTTTCTACTCTTCGACAAGAACTTTCTACTTTATAACGTCAACGTTCTACTCTTTTGCTGCCCTTGGCTCTCGGTGCCATAGTCGGTGTCTGACTTTAACCAGATTTCAGGTCAAGGAGCCTTAACAGCAGAAACATGAAAAACGTGTTTGTAATTGGGCCCTGCTCCGAACCCCCCCCCCCCCCAGAACGTCCTTGGTGGAAAAGCAATATTTTAGCTTTAGCATGCCCCTTCCAACCCATATCTGTGATGGTGAAAACTGCTGATAACAGCCATTTAATGGGCTGATATTATTTGAGGAGGAGGAATATGTAGACATGATCTGTCACGCTCAGTAACCCTGAATAATACACAGCTGCATTCGCTTCTACCAGTGCCTCCATCCCTACAATTCTGCATAATCAGCATTGTAAATGATGTGTTAAGAGGAATGCTAACTACGTCAACGAACTAACTAAATTGTCTTCCATAGCAAAGACCAAGGCCACAATATAGCTGCTTTCTTGTATTTCTATTGGTAAGCAACCGTGTCAATAGAGGAAAACAGCTTTCTGAACCCACTATAGGTTTAGCAGGCCCCTTTTAATCCATATCTTTGAGACTGATACAAGCCACTTAATGGACCGATGCCAATGCATGGGCTGAATGCATTTACAGCTGCATTCAATGTTCTTTGAGCTGTACATCAGCTACACATATCTGCACGTTAGTTCCTTCCTGTTGATAACCCCTGATGCTAAGCACAGTCCTGTTGCCCTGCACATTTCCCATGATGCTTCAGGGCAGGCCCGTCTGTCTCTGTCCCGTCCTCTCGACTTTGAGCGGCGTCCAGACGTGCCCGAGGAGTCCCGGCGGTTCTTAGCCGTCACGGTCAACTCGCGGCTGCAGAAGGAGAAGGTCAGGATTACCAGGGTCTGTTTGCTCTCTGAGGCCCGGCGTGACCTTCAACCTGCCCTCCAAACTGACACTCTGACCACTGCCACTCGGGTCAAACCCCCTGTATGTCCTCCGTGAGAGTGTTGTGATCTCACTCTATTTATCGCTTCAGGAGTAGATGGGTTTATTTGAAACATTAGCATCAGCAAACAGCAGCATTTGGTCGAATTAATCCTCATCTGTTGCACTTTTTCACAACAAAAACGTGGAGGTTTGTGGTGTATTTGCAGATTCCTGTGATGTTGATAATCATGAATACAATGAAGCATTGCCTTAACATGCTGCTATTTCAAACCTTTTTAGGATTAAGAATTCACTGACAAGTTTATGTAATCATGTGACAAAGTATTTGTAGTGTTTTCACGTCTAGTCGGTGTGATGTTTTGCTGTGAAACATACAGTAGCAGAAATGGTGTGAAATGGATACGAATGCAAATTAACTTGTTATTAATTTCTCACTTTGTGTCAATGATACCACGACAAGCAGGAGAGAATTTATTATATTGTATAAAATAAACATATTTCATTATCAATAGCTACCATGTTAATTCTTAATCCTTGTATTTTATAGCTTCTCCTCTTAAAACTCTGCAGATTTAATATTATGGTTGGTTGAATTGAGGACATTTCTTATCACCTGATTAAACAATCATATATGACAGAGTAACATATATTTTCAGGTCTTTTGAAAGCTTTTAGATTCCATATAACATGTAAGAATGTGCCTTTGTACCTGCGTATTAGATTTATTTAAGGCTAATTATTTACTTCTTCCACCATCTGCATTAATTACAGCAGCCAAGAATAATCATTCATTAATTAAGTCACTCATTAAAAGCTTGTTCACCGATTGTTTTAATTCATTGCAGACAATTTATAATTCCTGCCACACAGTGCATGTTTATTGTCTTAGTATAGCTGCAGCTGTAGCTCATTATTTGTGTGTCTAGTCCATGAAAACACACATTTTCTCAACAATTAATCTGTTTTCTGAGTCAAATTGTTTTCTTTATGCCGATGCAATTACAACATTATTAGAAATGTGCAAAGTGGTTCTGTGTGGGAGTATATTTCCAAAAGCAATGTGATTTGTTGACAAAGAGAAAGTAACCTTTAAGCTAACAAGGACGTAATTGTCCGTGCCGGAGCTTAATGCGGCTGAAATGAGGACAGAAGCGATGCAGCAGACATAAACAGCACTAATCTTCTGAGGAGATGGACTCTAATCTGAATTTCAGCAGTGGCCAGTGTCAAAGCCAAAGGCGTTTGTCCGTGTGCATTCATTGACAGGATCTGTGAGGTTATTTGTCAACACGCCTCGTATAGCTGTGGTAATCTCGCCTCCTCGCCTATACACTGATTGATAATTGATCCTTGTACAAACACTCTTTTGAGACACAGTTGCCTTTGAATGCCAAACAAGTCATTCTGTCTTTTTTTCCTCTCACAGCGGCTTAATCCGATAAACGAATGGGAATGAGTGTCGTCCTCTGCGGATTTCAACCTTTCACTCTGCCATTTGTCTCATATTGTTTACTGATGAGGCCTGAAGAATAGACGGGGTCACTTCAAGAGACGCCTGCTGCTTCGTTCACAAACCAAAAGTCGTATACTTAAATACAGACAAAGACTACTACAGATAGTATGGAAGCAGTTCTTATATCCTGAGCCTCAGTAAAAGTGCTATTTCCAAAATGTTAAACACAAAGCCCCAATCATGTTAAAAGTTAAAGTTCTGACATTCAAATAATACTTATGTTAAAACGGCAAAGCTTCAGGAAACTGTACATCAAGTACCAAAAGTATTTGACTTTCAGTGGAGGAAGCAATACTCAGATGCTTTATCCAAGTAAAACTAAAACTACCAGGGACTCAAAATAAAAAGTTAAAGGCCTGAATTCAATGTGACTTTGAGGAAAAGTACAAAATATTTTCAGCAAAATGTAGGTAAAGTACTCATGAGTGGTAAACAAACATATATTTTACTCTCTCCTTTAGTGTTTATTAGTGTAGTTCTATGGAATTTAATTTGTATTTTCCAAACCTTTCCAGCTCTTTTTGTGTTTTTTTGTTTTATTTAGCAGGATGTCTAAAACTCAGCTTGACTTGGAACCTGCTGACGTTTTGTTATATTATCCCTACACTGAATACCCAAAGATAAAAAGGTGGCACACAAACTCAGATCTCCAGTTGACTGATCCCACTCACCTTCTGGTTCACCACACAGTGTGCACTGTGATTCTAAACAAGAACCAAAGAGAAACAACAGGAGATTAATAGAGGCAGCACATATGTGAAAGTCTGTGTTTGAGCATGCTAACACATGTCAGCATCACAGCCCTTAATGCGAAAATGTTAACAACTGCTATTCAGGATTCAGCATCTCCCAACAGGGCTTAGCGTAAGCATGTTTATTTTAACATGGCAAGCATTTCATTGATGTAAGTCAACTTAGTCTTGAAGATCTCTCCGTGTGCCAATGAAGCATTTTACCTGTTGTTATTCAACATAAAACATTCAATGTGTAGCACTACAGATAAACACTTGGTCCATTAAGTAGCTGCTGTGGAGCTCTCAATAATCTTGCCTTTTTTTTTTGAGGATTTGTAACCCTAACCAACTTTTAATTGTCATACAGTGAAATTTAGACTCTGCATTCAAACTTTCTTAGTATAAGTGGAGCCTCTTCTGTATATCTACAGGACCCAGAGCAGCGTGAGGGTCCAGTTAATTGCTCAAGTGCACCTCGGCAGTGCTCAAAAGGTGAACTGGCAACTCTCAAAGTGCCAGTCCTTAATGAAAATGTGCTCATTTCAAGGACTTGAACCAAGGACCTTTTGTTTCCCAGAGCCAAGTTCCTTCAAATACGTGCCCTAAAATCAACATATGAGGCCACATGTAGAAAGGAATTAGAGGCAAACAATGCCTTAAAAATGATAAAACTCCCCACACAGTGAGTGTAGCAGAAGAGGAAGAATAAAACGTGTTATAGCTCATATTACATGTATATTTTACGTGCTGCAGAGGCCTTAATGTTTCACCCTGCTGAGGTACATTTCTCCTCCACCTCCGCAGTGAAGAGGACGGGTCAGCCGGTGATCAGCCCTGAGCAACACTATTCATTTTTTTT